ATATGCTTCAAGTATTTAAATGAGTATGATAACTTCTTAATTTGGGTTGTTGAATCTTATTTTAAACTTGCCATTGCATGGTTATATCAGATTTTTCATGATGACTACTACTTTTGTACTCGCTCAATTATTTTCAGGTCTTCTGTGCACCTTTCTGTTTTATTTCTGAACTCAAGTGATGTAACCTTCGGTTTATATGTAGTAGCTGGTTTTCCATATACATGTCTTCACACATCCTGCCTGTTCATTGCATTTTGTAGCACTCAGGTTTGCATGGAAACAAGTACCGTTTCAGTAGATTTGAATCCTTTGGTTGTTATTATTTTCAGGCTTTACAAGACGATGCTGTTAATCAAAAGGAAACATTAGTTAATGAAGTTAAATGCCTACGAGGGGAACTACAACAAGTGAGGGATGATCGTGAATGCCAAGTGTCAAAAGTGCAAGCCTTATCGGCTGAAATAGAGAAGTTTAAAGAAAGTGCTGGAAAATCGTTTGAAGTATTAGATGACTTGACTATGAAATCAAAATACTTGGAGGTTGGTTTAAATTTTTTCTTCCGATTAGTAATTCCATTTTGGCAAGCTTTACTACATGTTAGGTTTCTTTTGTAGGATACATGCTCTTCTCAACTGGAGCGAATAAGAATACTGGAGCTTCAGCTCGCAGCTGCAAATGAAAAGCTGAAGGTACCAACAATGCTTAAATTCAAAACTCTTTATTTTCTCTTATATTGTTTTGCTAAAGATATCATCAATCTATTTGCTGATGTCATAGTTTGTTCTTTCTTTTCCTATTCTAGATGGCTGATTTATCAGCTTCAGAAACAAGGGTGGAATATTTAGAACAAAAAGGAATCATACAAGAACTACAAGATCGGTTGGCCGATATGGAACATAAACTAATTGAGGGAGAGAACTTGAGGAAAAAGCTGCACAATACTATCTTGGTACTGCTGCTTCATTGCCCTTTCTTTGTTGACTATAATCATGTAATAATACGAAGTTATATTTAATTGCAGGAATTGAAAGGTAACATCCGTGTATTTTGTCGGGTACGTCCTCTATTACCGGATGATGGTGCAGCAGAATGTGTATCAGTCTCTTATCCTACATCAACAGAATCTCTTGGCCGTGGCATTGATTTGATACAGAATGGTATGAGCATATGTGTTCTTTCTTTGCTACTCAATTTCTGTTCTATATGAAAAGCAGCACCACCCTTATACAGTTTTATCTCATTGTTAACAGGACAAAAGTATCCTTTTACATTTGATAAGGTTTTCAATCCTGAGGCTTCACAACAAGATGTCTTTGTGGAGATATCACAGTTGGTACAGAGTGCCCTTGATGGATACAAGGTGATGTAGCTACTTTATACACTTTTTTTGTAAACTAAGCAAATCCTTTTGTTCTTCGAAGTTGAGTACTGCAATATCTATTTTGATATTTGAATTATAAAATCACTAGTGATTATGTATGGCTCCTATTTGATCCACATGATTTTTCCTTTGAAGTAAATATGGATTAATAGGCTGTTGGTTTGTTTCAGGTTTGTATATTTGCTTATGGACAGACAGGTTCAGGTAAGACTTACACCATGATAGGAAGGCCTGAAGCTCCAGAGCAAAAAGGGTTGATACCTCGTTCGTTGGAGCAGATATTTCAAAGTAGCCAGTCATTGCAAGAACAAGGATGGAAATACAAAATGCAGGTAATTTGATTTGATGATTTCTATTTATTTTGTTGGCAATTCATTGTTTTAATCATCTCATCTAAAAATTTTAGGCTTCAATGTTGGAAATATACAATGAAACCATCCGTGATTTGTTATCAACTAATCGATCAATAGATCCAACACGTGGAGAAAGTGCAGTTTCTGGGAAGCAATACACAATTAAACACGACTTAAATGGTAATACATATGTCAGTGATCTGACCATTGTCGATGTCAGCACCATGACAGAGATTTCCTCACTTTTAAGGCTGGCAGCTCAAAGCAGGTAAAATTGTTTAAGAATCTTGAGAATTTTTCCAACGGTGTATAGATTATTCTTGCGTTATGCATCTACCAAAGTGAGGAAATTTTAAGTGTTAAATTAGTTGATATTACAAACTATGAAATGTTTTATGAACGATGAGGTAGTTGTCTAGCCTGGGTATAACAAAACTTAAAATAGCTTGTCTCTGATATGAAATGTCTCATGAGTTTTCTTCTCAATGACGATATTATAGTACAATTTGGGGATATTCAAGGGGTTGTACTCTGTTTTCCAGGTCTGTGGGCAGGACGCAAATGAATGAGCAATCGTCTAGAAGTCACATGGTTTTTTCATTAAGGATCTCGGGCATGAATGAGGTAACTATACTTTTGAGTGCTTTTGTTTTGTATTGAGTCGTTGATAACCCCTTTCATTCTGACATTTCTTTACTTCAATCTGTTAGGGCACTGAGCAACAAGTACAAGGTGTTTTGAACCTCATTGATCTTGCAGGAAGTGAACGACTGTCAAAGAGTGGCGCAACCGGGGATAGGTTGAAGGAGACTCAGGTATTTAACGCCCTACTGGATTTTGTCTGTTCCATAACATGTTCTTAACGCTATTATACTGTTTTCTTGCCGTGCAAACTAGGCCATTAACAAGAGCTTATCGTGTTTGAGTGATGTGATATTTGCATTGGCCAAAAAGGAGGACCATGTGCCTTTTAGGAACTCCAAGCTCACATATCTTCTCCAGGTAAAGTGCTCTAGAATAACTTTTGGTTGATATCAAATTTTGTTATGAATGAATCACTGGATTACCTTTTAAATTTAATTGCATAATTAATTACAGCCATGTCTTGGTGGAGATTCGAAAACCCTTATGTTTGTCAACGTATCTCCTGATCCGACTTCTGTGGGCGAGTCTCTATGCTCCCTCCGTTTTGCTGCAAGAGTTAATGCTTGTGAAATTGGAGTTCCCCGGCGTCAGATGACATTGAGGGCAGCTGATTCTCGGTTGAGCTGCGGCTGAACTGAAGTTATGATTATTATCATATTATTTTATAATAGTGTTAACTACATTTTTGTAAGTGAAAGGTTTATGTATCATCCGTTGAGAGCTTCTTCTTGAGCTACTACTAATCACATGTGTTCTTAGATTTATGTTGCGTCTGATAAGGACTAATGATTGGGGAAAAAAAGGACCAATTTATTGGCCCTGCCACAAAAGTAACTTTTTCATTGTTGTATGGTAAGAGTTCATCATTTGATGAATACAGAAAGAAACAAATGAATTCTATGTTTTTATCAGGGTTAAGTTTTTGGCTTTTAGCCTTATGCGAGTAGAATTGGGATTTTCGAACACTGAAACGTCCCGTAAAAACGTGAGAAAACTAGAGTAGGGGTATATTATATTTGTAAATGAAGCATATATGTCTTTGGCTAGCAAGAGAACAAGTCGAGATTTGTTTTTGTTTTCTTCAAATGGAAAGGAGATATTTATTGAATCATATCCAAAAGAAGATAGAAAGAACCATATATAAAACAGAAAAGGAATGGTTGGTGCCAGGACAAAAGTAAATGGTAAAACTACACCATTTTTCACAAGTTACCAAGAAAAAATGGTTTACAAGTTGAAGTTACCTAGCTTTTCTGTTTCCATATCTTGACATAGTCTAAAGGACATTTCTCTTGTTGCAACAAGCAAAACATCAAAGAAAAAGGAAGGAAAAGATGGATAGAGAAGAAGCGCAACAAGACAAGTCTAGAGTTGTGAAGATAGACTCTGTTCAATCCTGGGACTTATATTTTAACCAAGCTACAAATCAAGGCTGCCCGGTAAGCTATTCAATTCTTCATGTTTGTAATTGTCTAGTGGGTAATCTTTTGGCTCAGTTCCTGGAAACGATCTCGACGAAGGATTTTATTGTGATTATATCTCTCCAAAGTTGTTAATTTGAGTATTTTTCTGGGTATGTTGTAGATTGTTGTACACTTCACTGCTTCACGGTCCCTCGGTGGCCATGAACCCCTTTTTTGAAGAATGGCCTTAACTTTCCAAGATCTCCTGTTTCTCACCGTTGATGCTGATGATGTTAAGGTAACAACTCTATGATCGCTTACATACAAATGCTGATAGAAGGGGAGCGAGTTCAGTATCTTCTTCCTGAAGACGTGCTAGAATCATCTTGAGAAAGATATGTTTGGGCATGTAAGTTGGATCACGACATGTGCATTTGAGGATAGTATCATCCTTTTGTGATAAGGATGATTTGTTTTGGCATTATTAGGTATAATGAGTTAATGACTAGCAAAGTCATTTTGAATGTTGGTTCACGTTATGCTCTATTTTCTTTATTCCTGTTGCTATTAAAAGAAAAGCTAAACAATATAGTTTGAATAATAAATTTCTCGTGGGTTGTTAATATAATCTTGTGAAAAAATGAGGGTCCAAAATGAATTAATTTATTGTATTTGCGCGGACATGTTTATTATGTAAGATTGATATGAGTGGGATTATTAGGAGGTGGCAACGAGGATGGAGATCAAGGCAATGCCAGCATTCTTACTGATGAAGGAAGGTACGGCTGCTGACAAGTTGGTTGGCGCAAATCCAGAAGAGATAAGCGGATTGATGGTTTTATGAAATCCAGTCGTGCATAATATCGATGCTTGAACGTGTGAAAAAGGGTGTTTATATTTGTGTATCGTCTTATAAATGTGATTCCGTGCTGAGAAGTTGACAAGTCTAGAATCCGATCCTGTTGGGGGGAAAACTAGGCCAAAACCACCACCTGCTCAAGACTATCTCAACAATTTGACAATGAATGCAAATCATCCTGCTCGTGACTTTAGGAAAAACAACGATTCCTTTAACCAGTGAGGTAAGTTGGTTCGTGAAATGATACCATTAGGAGGAGAATAAAAGAATTGAGTTTCAGTTATCTCCGCCTCGGCATTTTTTGCTAAATTGTCAGCAACTCTATTATCCTGTCTCAAAACATGATTGAAACAGACCTCTCACTCCCGCTCAAGCAAGCACAGAATATGATCCACTATCGTTGAACTCCTCTTCCTCTTATGATCGTTCATCATGTTAATGACATTTAAGTTATCATTTTCAACAACCACTCTTCTCACACCGGTGTTCCAAGCGCGGAGAAAGCCAACATAGATTCCCCACAGTTCCGCTTCCAAACTCGAGCACACTCCAAGAAATTTCTTAAACCCCACTAACCACTCTACTATATTGTTACGAATTGCACCCACCCTTTCTCGACGTTGACGTCTATTTGCTTCGTAGTCTTGTTCGAGTGCTCTGTGCGTCAACATTTGTAATCTCTTGCTTCTTTCAAGAATAACAGCATTATTCTCCAACGAATTATCAAAAACAATAGAATTTCCATAACAACACGTGTTCTAAAAGATTGTTCCAAATAAGATATCTCACTCCTTACCCTCCTTAGAGAAATAGCTAACGTTAGTCAGATTAACGCGGATCCAATTCTTGATTTCCATCGACATAAATTCCTCAAGTTTATCTTCTTTTATGAGCAGCACCCAAATGGGTAGAATAATGGTACACTTCCAAAAAATATGATCAATATCCTCCAAGGAACCAACACAGCACGGGCAGTCTCCATCACTCGTGAAATGACGTTTCAGCCGTTCAGCATTAGTCATAAGTTTATTCCAACTTAACAACCATAAGTCGGTTACTTCGACATTTGGCTCTAATCGGGCTTCATAAGTCGGTCCTATAGTAAACTGCACATCATCACATCTTGCCCGCCCATAATTATCGACTTTTCCACCTTGAACAGAACCTTTGATAACAGCTGGTCTTAGCAGTATATTTATGGGCAGAAGGTGCTAAAAAACACTCCACTTCCAATTACTCGCCTTGTCTGACATGCCCTTCACGGAAGTTGACAAGTAATGGTACCATTGTTAATGTAATTAATCAAAGGGTTCAGATAAGGGATCCACTTATCCCTCCAAAAATCAGTGTTACTGCCATTGCCCACCACCTGAGAAATATTGCTACAAACATCTTTCCACACAATGCTAATACCCTTTCAAAGCCTCGAGCAATTCTGATTTCGAATGTGCATTGAAAAATCTTCCTCCCATTTATATTTTGCCTGCAAGAAATAAACCCAAAGAGCATCCTTTTGAGTAATGAGATTAAAAGCAAGTTTGATAATAAACACTTAGTTTTGAGTCTCTAACTTCCTGAAACCCAATCCACCATACACAATCGGCTAACATACATTATCCCAACCAGGGCCGGTTCTGACTTTTTCTTGGCCTGGGATAAAATTAAAAAAATTAGACCCTAATTTAAAAGAATATTAAAAAATACGCAATATAAAATTTTAATTAATTTTTATTAAATTAAATAAATATTAATTCATTACAATATCAAAAATATCAACATATTTAAGCATATAAATACTTAAAAAAACATTGCCTTCGAGCATTTCTTGATGCAAAATCATTGATGATAGTGTCAACATCAATGTTTTCCAATATATTTTTCTCAATATATAACATAGCTAGCACATTCAATCTTTATTGTGACATTGTTGACCTCAAATAATTCTTCAATAATTTCAGTTTTGAAAAACTTCTTTCCGCAAATGCTACCTTTAGCAGCATTGTTAATAAAATTCAATAAGCAATTGAAACATTAGGATAACAATCTCTAGCTTTAACAAACTCAAGAACTTCAAGCGCTGACATGAATACATTTGGCAAAGTCAATTGCAACACTTTATTTTCAGGAAAAAAATCATCTGCATCAACATCCGACAAATTATTATGAGAAAAAATAATCTTAAAATTATTACAATATTTTTTTAATAAGTCAATAAGAAATAAGTTTATGGGCCCTGCTTTTAATTTAGTATATTAATATAGTTTTTAACGTTATGATGAGAACAATAAATCAATAAAAAATAAGTTTATGGACTCTCTTGTATTAATATAAGAAAATGATATATTAATATTTATGAGTCTTATTTTTAATTTAGTCTATTAAAATATAATAAATTAATACAAAATAAAATTATGGGCCCTGGGCGGGTGCCCCTCTTGCCCCTGCCCAGAGCCGCCGGCCCTGTCCCAACGAATTGAAGGAGTGCCTCCACCACCAGAATCCTTGCCCCAAACACAATAACGAATCAAACGTTCCAATTCTGAACAAATTTTCAAAGGCAGAACAGCAGTTTGCGTAGCACCGCTTTAGCAAGAGTGATACGTCCAACCATGGAAAGAGTCCACTTTCCAACCGCTCAATTTATTATGAACCATTTGAACCAGGTAACGGTAGGAAGCCGATGTAACACCACAGTGAAGTAAAGGGACTCCCGATGTAACACGAGAGTGAAGTATGTTAAAACTAAATCATAATAAATATTAAATTACCCGGGATCTAATCGTGTCAAATCATCAAGAATAAAATAAATACCAGATTCGGAAGCGTACATGAATTAATTGATAGGTTGAAATCCTTAAATCTTTCTTTGGTTGTGATCTTCCAAAAAGATAGAATTTTCTTAACTATAAACTCTCTAACGTGATAAGAGTAAATACGAGATTTTGTATTTATTAGTGACAAACTGTTTTATATAGTTAATTCAAGAATAAATTATTGTATACTTATAACTCTTCAACCTTCATCGAATTATAAATATAACTTTAATGGTATCTACACTTTTATTTCTATGACACTTCTAATATCTTATGATTTTATAACATAATTGATCACTTAATTTATGTCATATTTTATGATAACAATATACATTTTAAATATGTGCCCATAATTATGGATTTTAATCCAAAATCTCCCAGTTGGGCAACATATGTTTTCTAATATATGAGCTCAAATTTTTTTATCATACAATAGGTATTTTATAACAATCTCGTCCATTAACTATATCCATATATGATCAAAGCGGCTTTTGCCATATTTATCATGACTAGACCCATCAATGGTCACGTATACAAACACAGTCAAATGACAAAGATCAATCATGGAGCGTAGCATGAAAATTACATGCAATGTGAACCGCACATATCTATTTCCAATTGGTCCTCTTTAAACATTAGTGAGATCAAATTTTATCAAAACCAGAGTGGATAAACCAAAATAAACTTTATTTCTGCAGAAAATAACTTTAAAATAAATATCCTTAAACTGAAGTTGTGTTTATAATAAATGAACATTAAAATTACAAACTCCCACTAGAATCAAATATCCTTAAATGATATTACACTCATATGAGTAATGTGCTCATGAAAGACCTTGGGTGACAGTTCTTTAGTAAGCGCGTAGTTATGAGTTTGTACCAACATGCTCTATAAACATATAATCACTCTGAATTTTCTTTAAGAAACAAAAACATAATATCTATGTGATTAGATTTAAGATGTTTTTGTTATATATGGAAAGAAGGACTACAACTTAGTTGTCAAAAAATAAGTCAAGTGGTTTTTCTTATCAATTCATAATTAGCAGTTCATGTGACAAACTTTTGCATTCATATTTCAATAAGTCGTAGTCCATAAACCTAATGATATCTTACTTATTAGACCTCTGATATGTGAATATGTAACATTTTTGTTCTTAAATATATTGAATGAATTAATTTAGCTGCTATCCAACGATCCATACCCAAATTGCTTAAATATCTTCTTAATATCCTAAAATCATATACTATGTCTGAATGCATATAAACCTGAGTATACATTAAATTTTTTATTTATTTTAAAGCATAAGGAACCTTTAACATTTCCTTAGTTTCAAAATCATCCTTAAGGTAGTTTCAAAATCATCCTTAAGGTACTGATCAAGACTAAACTTGGTTCCTTTAGCAATAAGGGGTATTGTTTGGTTTACTCCCATTAAACTTATAATATATACAATTATCAACCAAATTCATTTCAAAACCAAACGGGATAATCACTTGGTGAAGTTTGTTATACAATTAATGAGAGTAATACTTGAACTTATAAATATATTTCCTTAATTTGCAAATTATTAATTTTGTATCATTAGATACAATTTTCTAATTGCACCGTATAAAATATTTTATCAATGTTACCATTGAGAAACACAATTTTAAAATCCAACTTATGTAACTCAAAATCAAATATGAGCAACATGTATAATAATTATCCCGAAAAAGTCTTTCAATGAAACCAAAGAGAAAGTCTCTACAAAATTAATGTCTCCTTTCTGAGTATATACTTTATATACAAGACATGTCTTATAATTATCAACATCACCATTTGCATCCATCTTGATTATAAATACTCATTTATAACCAATTAATTTTCCACCTTCAAGTAATGAGATAAGTACTCAAACTTTATTATCTTGTATAAAAATATACTCTTTTTACTTGGCATTAATCCACTTTTGAGAGTCATAACTTTTATGATGACGAAAGTTAATTAGATTATCTTTCATCATTCTACTGTCATCCTTATTTCTTGTAGAAACATAATAATCTAAGATCATCTTTCTCTCATCTCGTATATCTTCCTAATGACACTTGTTCTTTGAGATTGTTGAATTTGATTGTAATAACCCAAAAATTTCAACAGGTGACTAAGATGCAAATTTTGAAAATTGGTGACTAAAATATAAAAAATAGAAAAGTTTAAGAACCTAAAGTGTAATTTTGAAAATTATATATATATTATTTGGTCCCATAAATGGATAGTTTACCTTAAAAGAAAGATTTGTGTGCCTGTCAGATTTTCGATCCAAAATTTGTAGAAAAAGATTTTTGTGTCTGTCAGATCGAATAAAAAATTCACAAAAATTTGAAGGATGATAATAAGAGGTTAAAAATTTTGTTTTAGTATTTTTATTGTGAAGAATTCAAAGTGGATTAGTTAAATTAAAAGAATTTACCTTGACTTAGTGAAATAGTGTAATTTAGTGACTAAATTGAAATTTTAAAAATTGGAAGGCCAAAAAGAGAAATTGATAGATGATATTTTTATAGTTAGTTTGGAATATTAAAATATAAATAAAGGAGTGACATGGAGGTAAAAATAAAAATTCATTAATGGCAATTTAGATTTTTGAGCCAAAAAGAATTAAAAATTCATTTTAAATTAGCTTTTAATGGTTTAATTAATATATATTTTGATAGAATTCTCTTGAAATTCTTCTTCTTCTCCAGCAGTTGACCGTAACCTCCATAGCCAAGGTGAGTGATTTTTTTTCATTTTTGGTCCATTTTAATTAGAATTTGGACTAAAGTGTGAAAAAGAAAAATGTTCTCCACTAAATTCTCTTTCTTCTGGTATAACTTTTGCATGATTTCATGCATAAAGAGTGAAATGCTTTTATGGTGGTTGAAGGGAAGGTGATAAATCAATGAAATAAGATTGGAGTTTGATTATAGTAGTGTTATGGAATCAATTACAAGCTTAAAAGTTAATAAAAACCACTAAGGGACCAAGATGCAAGTATACAATCATGTATGGGTCGTAAAAAAATTTAATTTTTGGTTATTTTTGTTATAGGAATGATTAGAAATGAATGGAAAAGGGTTGTAGGTGACTAAACCAAGCTTAAATCAAAGTTGGAGACCATTAAGGAAAGATTCCAAAATTTTCAGCCTTAAGGAAGAAAAATTATGCAAAAATTTCTTTGGGGTTTGGATTAGATAGAAGAATGATTTCATCTGATTAGAATTAAGTTTTGGATCAATTTGAAGTAATGTTAAGTTTATGGGACCTTTTTGTAAGTTTGGTGAAATTGAAAGATTATTAGGTAATTGTTGGGAAATTGAATTACTATGCTGAAAATTGGTGTTAAAATAATGAATTGGTCTATTTTGTAGAATGCTACAAGATGGAGGACTAAGTTGGAAGTCTAAGGGAAGTTGATGATGAAATGGTAAAAATATGGGATTAAAGAGATTGCTTGGAAAAAATAATAATAAAAAAGTGTTGTTTGGAGTTGAAAATGGTGAATGACATGGAATAAAAGTGATTGGTAGGGGACTAAATTGAGGATTTTTTATTTATGGGGATTGATTTAGAAGAAATGTGTAATTGTGGGTTAGTTATTAAATTATGAAAAGTTAAGTGATTTATTGTTAAGAAGTATTATTTCAAGGACTTGGAAGGGAGAATTAAAAGAAAAAAAGTTGATTTAAATTAATGGAGAAAATTAGTTTCGAATATTTATCGATTTTATTGTTTTTTAAATTTGTTTGAATATAAGATTATAATATTAATTTAAGTATTAATATTAATATGTGTTTTAAATTGTTTATATGTTGAAAATCGATGATCGAGTAGTTCGTGATTATAATCGAGATCAAAATGAATCGGATGCAAGGGTTATAAATGTGATCGTAGAGTAAGCTAGTGAGGCACCAGGTGAGAGCAACTTACTTATTTTATATTTGATATGAGGACAGCTTGCGATGAACCAATCTCGAAGGTTTTTTTATTGAAACAATTTGATTTATTTTATGAAACATCTTTATACTGATTTACTAAATGGTTTTTATATGATTTTGGGTTTGAATAACCCAAATTATTTTATTCGATATGTTATTTTATAGCATGTGAATATTTTTAGGTATGAAATGCCCAAATTTGATTTTATATAAATGGTTTTATATAAATGATCTAAATAACCCTTGGACCGCTTAAAATAACCAAAATAGTTACTTACTGTTTTAGAATTTAATTTCTCCTCAAATGTCCAAACTTAACTTAAAAGAGAATAACCCTCTGTAACCTATTGTTGTCTCTTTTAAGTTGAACCCTTAACAATTACATTCTGATTTTTTTTTGTCATTATCTTTGTATGCACTTTTCAAGTGAGTACTTTTAGATTTATTATGCTTAAGACTTTCTTCCTCTTGCACACAATGAAAAATGAAGGTTAATATTTAGACAAAATATTCACCTTAACAACCAGCTATGTCGATAAAATACTGATAATAAGAAACATATAATCATCTTGATATTTCAAATAAATCAGTATACACAAAAGAGGTCACTTTGGAAGCATTTTGTTTCAACTAATCTATCAAAATATCAGACATAGTCATAATATGAATTAATTTATTTCAATATATATATATATATATATATTCTATTAACAACAATCAAAACTGAAAAACCCGAATTGAATATATACATATTCTGCATTAACAATATAGAAATATTGTTAACCAATCAATTTCTCTTAATTTATCTTTTAATTAAATTAAAAGATAATGAAAATAACAATAAATTTAAATACACTTGAACATTATCTCAAGATATCAAATACTCCATTAATATTTCATCTTTAGACAAAATATTCACCTTAAGTGATATCTGATGCGGTAACCAATCACTGATAATAAGAACATGTTAAACAAAAAGTCTTCATTTGGGTCGATTTATTACTTACACATCAAATAGAATAAGTATCACATACTTAATACCAAAATTGTACATTCAATTATGTCAACTATTAATATTCCTTTGGGTCGATTAATACTAATATATCTTAAGTTACATGTACATAACATTTATAAAATATTTTCATAACCGAGATCACTTTAACGACTTATTTCTTTAATTAAATTGTCTCAAAATAAATATTAGTATTTAAATTTAATATTTCTATAACAATCAAATGTCAAAACTGAAATTTCTGATTGCACTACAATATTTCGAAATAACCCAAAATAGGGTTACATAAAAAACACTATAAAAACTTAAGTCTTTGATTGTTTCTAAAGAATTCCTTAAACATGCATTTAATTCACAACTTTAGAAATTACTAAAGACAAAACGAGAAAAATGTTTAACAAAAAGTCAAAATCAAAATATATACTAATGAATGAAAACTTTTCCAAAGATTAAAATAATAATATTTTTAATTAAACTAAATCAAATATAAATTAAAATATATATTCAATTTGGTGAAATAAAGGAACCATTTGAACCATTTATTCTACTTTTTTTTTATTTTTTTATTTATATTATTTATCTTTATTTATATTAATTTTAGTTTAATAGAGGTATTTTTTGGGGTTAAAATTTAGTTGGGTCTTGAAAATTTAATGAGTTAAATGCAGTTAAAAAAATAATAGAATTTTAATTTTTAACGAGTTTAAACTTAATATATAAACATTAAATAATTATTATTTTCAATTAATTTAATTAATATTTTCTTAGCTGAATTAATATTGATAATTTATCATTTAACTGATTTAATTTAATTTGATCGACTAATTCAATTAAAATAAAACGAAACCTTTGTTTGTGACAGTGGACAGGAGTGGAAGTGGAATTAAAAAGGTGAAGGAATGTGGACTCTCTCCGATGAATCAGATCCCTTTGGATTCTGTAAACCAAATCCAAAGTAAATATTCCCTACATTTTCCCACCCAGAATTCCCCAAAGCAACCAAATTCACTCGTTCCATATCTGTGTAATCTCTCTCTGTTTCTTTCACCATTAAAAAAAAACCATCTTCCGTTTCTCTGACATCACTGAACATTTGCCGGGGAAATGATGTCCCGGCGGCAACCGGATGCGACGGTCTCCCCTGAAAATCCCAACGCCTGGATTTTTTATGATTATGGTTTATTAGAAGACATTGCTGTTCCTGGTGGTGATCTTCCCTCACTTGACCCTTCACCCTCTATTTGGTCATCTCCCTCCCTCCCTTGTTCTACTCCTCTCAGGTTCCTCTTTTCCCTCCCTTTTTCTTCATTGCTTTTGAATTTTAAGGTGGCATGGAATACAGTTGTAGCTGTAAATCTCATGTTTGATTAGCTGAACTTTCTAGCAGGCAAAGTTCCAAGTTGGGATATTTCCAACATTGTGGTACTAATGTTTGTTTAGCTTTATTTAGGCTGCTATGTTTAGCAATGGAATTGGGTAGTGTACTAAGCTAAGTGGCTGGCAAGCTACCATGGTCCTAGCTTCTCCTTTTAGCTAGGATATGTTAATTGCGCATTAACCTTCCTTAATACTTCTGCAGTGTTGAATTTACTGAATCGTTTGGGAATTCAGAAAATCTTAATGAAATATGCTCCCGAAAACGGTATGCGGCTACTCAATCATGACCTTTTTATTGTATTCGTGCAATCTTAATGAATCGTTTGGGAATGCAGTTTCTGGTCTGCTTCTGTACCATTTAATTGCTTTAAGCTTCTGTCCAGTTTTATGGTGTGATTATACTTGGTTTAAAACGCTTTTGTTATCTCTTCACTCTTCTATATCAGGATGAGGTCTGGTTCATGCAGTGCATCTGGATCCAAAGCTTGCAGAGAAAAGATGCGAAGGGCTAAGCTAAATGACAGGCATGTGTTGTTGCACCTTTTCTATCCCTTCAACCCACTTTGCCTCCTCTGATGTTTGTATTCCAATGTCTCAAGATTCCTAGAATTGGGTTCTATCCTAGATCCTGGAAGGTCTTCCAAAATGGACAGGGCTGCCATATTGGTTGATGCAGTTCGGATGGTTACTCAATTACGGGATGAAGCCCAGAAACTGAGGGAATCAAATGAGAGTCTGCAGGAGAAGATTAATGAGCTTAAGGTGAGAGCTTGGGATGAGTGTTGCATGTTAAAATTTTTATTTGATGTATCAATATTACTTAAAGTTACCAGGTGGCTCGTGTCTTAACTGAGTGGCGTTTTATGTTGTAGTCTGAAAAGAATGAACTTCGCGATGAGAAGCAGAAGCTAAAGACCGAGATACATAATCTCGAGCGGCAAGTAAAGGCATTAGATTCTAAGCCAGTATTTGTGCCTCAAGCTACTGCTATTCCAACTCCATTTTCTACCCAAAGCCAAGTTGTAGGTGGCAAGCTGTTCCCTTTGTTGGCTATCCTGGAGTTTCCATGTGGCAATTCTTGCCTCCTGCTGTTGTTGATACATCACATGATCATATTCTACACCCTCCAGTCGCATAGGCTGGCAGCCTGTTATTTTGTGGTTGCCTTCTTCAGCACCCTAAACCCTTGTTCCTAATTATACCCGTCATCAATACTTTTTACATTTTTACTCCCCTTTGAATGAATATGAGAAGTGAGAACTGAAAGCAATGCCTGAAGCTACATTGATTGCTCAGATAACTTATAATTTTTGTGCGAAATTTTGGTCAACTATTGGTGCCAAATCTTTGAAGCTAGGTACCCTTAAAGTTGGAAAGTGTTGATTGCACTGGAGTTAAGCAGTTAGTGTAATTTTGATTACTTTACTGTAATCATTGATAGCATCAGCCATTTGATGAAGTTGCCTTTCATTATCTTGAAAAAAGTTTTCCTTTAAACTAAATGGAAACTGAAGTTTGAAGAGAATTTAGACACATAAGGTATTTAATTCCTCCCGCTTCCATTAAAGCTACATCTTCATTACAAAGCTGAAGTAAAACACAGTTGATTATTAAGCAAATTAACAGAATTTGATTTTAACATGGTAGTTTGAATCCCATATAATTTCCCGATGAGTAGTCGTCCCAAACATCAAGAGCTCCAAAGCTAGTCATCAAAATGACACTCAAAGCCATCACTGTACCAACTGAGAACACGATTAGGGATGCCCTTCCAAACTGTTTTATGGCCTTCTGCACCACCACCAATCCAAGAAGCGATGCGGCGAAGCAAATGACTGAAAATATAAGGGCAGTGCCAATGTGGTCCATGCCCAATAATAAGTATTGAAACGCAGACATTGTGGACGAGAAGAAAACCAAGAAGGAACAAGTAGCCGCTGTAATCTGGAGCAAATGATTTGAGCAATTGGTTTTTGGCTTTTTGCTGTAAGATAAAACTATGGAACTCTATAATGGTTAAAACAGGGACAAGTGATCGGTATACTTACCTCAGGGGCTACTCCAAGTTGAAGTAGAAGTGGGCTTATAAGCATTGCACCTCCGATTCCAAAAAGTCCACCCAAGCCTCCAGCCATTAGAGCCATTAAGGGGAAAATTAGCTTGTTAACTCCCTTCACAAGGAAAGAAAAAGAAGGGTTAGTTTTTAATTTGGTCGCAAGTGGGTAGCTAATTTTGTAAATAGATTTTGTTAAGCACCCGGTTATTTGGACCTCGGCATGCAATTGGCTCTTGTCTGCGAAGGATCCATGCTGTAAAAGCTATGGCGAGAGGAATTTGAAACAATGAGAGAGACCAATATCCTATTCCACAAGGCTTCAGTGGTATGACACCCTGCATGTAGATTGAATAGTCATAAACATTGAAGATCATTGCATGCAATTCTAAATTCTTGAATGAAACTGAAAATTCTCTTCTAGTTTTATAAAATTAATGCTGATAAATTTTCATGCAAAAAGTGGACAAATAGTGCCGCGTCAAAATTCGATACTTGGTACAAAAGATGCTTCAATATTTTCACTCTCCAGGTAAGTCCAGAATAAGGTAGCCGCCTTTCACTTTGCTCTCTCTTTTGTTCTTTTATGTGGATTTGTTGTAAACTATGACAAGACATTGGTCTATAGGCTATAATCATTCCTGGACCATCTTCCACTCTACCTAATTAAATTCATTGTTATTATTATTGATGTGATTATCATTGTAAATCCTATAAGCTGTTATAACATAAGCATATCAAAATCTACAAGATATTATTGTTATCATTATTGATATGATTATCATTGTAAATCCACGTATTTCTAGAGAAAGACGCTTTTGACAAAATGAAACATGCAAATTGTATTCCAAAGAAAGATGAGACAACGAGACAAGAAAACGTTACCTGTCCATAGCGATTCCCGCGAATGAGATAGATGATCAAGAAGGAAAACCAGACCATAATCAAGATCACCAATTTCTTCCATGGGAACCTGGGAGTTTCTTTTCCTTCCATGCTCACTAAAGGTTCTTCTACACTCTTAACCTCGCCACTTTTACCAGTTTCCAAGTTTTCATACCCGTTTCTAGCTCCTAGATTTCTATCCGATTCCATTTTCCAAAACATGACACCGTTTCTACATGTCTTGATGGTAGACCAAACAAGAAAAATGGCAAACATGATGGTGATCAACCACTCTGGTAACACAAGGTTGCAAACTACTCCCACACTTACACCTAATAGCATGCATGGCTCTGATAAAAGTGCTATATCATAGTCAATCAATGTCTTTCCTCCGAACTTGGAACTTTTGGCTTGCAAGTTATACATAACATTCGCAATGGACCCTCCTGTGACCATGAAAGCCGAGAAACTCGTGGCGGTTTTGAGGTCCAAAGAACCCACAATCGTGAGAATGGGGATGAACAACCCTCCACCACCAACACCTCCAGCGCTGGATATGGAGGCAGCTACGAAGCTCAACACGCCTGCTACCACTGAAGAGGTTGATAGCTTCAAGTTTCCATGTGATTTTAACGGATGATGAGTACTACTTCTTCTCCACTGGAGAGTTCTGTTGATGAAGCTCTCGATTGTGAGATTATCTAAAATGGGTTGCGTTTGTGTTGCTGCATGGGACTGGACGAGGATGATGAAAATCGCCAGGGCGAGAGAAACCCATCTAAGCAAACTTTGATTCTTCATTTTTGCTACTGATGACTGTTGGTGTCCAAGGAATAGTCCTACGCAACCTTCTTATATGAGGATGAGAATTTTGAATTGTATTTGCATGGCAGCTCGTGGGGAAAAAAACAAAAAGGCAATCAATTTGAAATAAACAATATTAGTTCATGTTAGCTTTATTGATGTCAGCTCCGTCCCAATGGCTTCCTTTTCCATGGATTTAATTAAGCAGATTAATTAAGAATTACATGATTAATTAAACATGTAAAAATTAACTTCAATATCTTATTTTTGTTTGTCTTTCAGCAGGCAAGTTCGACGCAGGTTACATGGGGGAACAAGGGAAATGAACAGGAAGTTTCCCTTCCCGTTAAAAGTGGGACACGATTTAATGGCAGAAACTTCTGATGTACTTTTAACTCAAACTGAAACAAAACAGTTTTTGCTGTGGCAGGATTATCCGATTGTCGTTTAATTTATAAAGATCTATGTTCCTAGTGGTATATGCTTCTTCTTCTTTAGGTCACATAATTAAGGCTGGATATGGAATCCAGGCCATGGGATCTCGAATGTAATAAAAGGTAGAATTATAGTCGAAAAGGATCATAAAAAATGAAAGCAAAGCATAGACGTTGATATGGATATGGATGACAATTAGGGTTGAGATTTTTAGTGTTAGATCCATTTCCTTTTGTCAAGTTGATCTCAATGCTAACGTCCATACGTAAAAAAAAATTAACATTGTTTTTGTCATGGGGAAATCAAAGACAATTCATATTTGTCTTAGACTAGTCAATATGTTCCTGAGTTTTCGATTGATTATTGGCTTACATTTTCACAACAGTTCCATCTTATCCATGAATTCTTTAATTTTCCAAAGCAATCAGATTCTGAAAGAACAATTATAAACCAGAACCTGTGAGGTCCCCAATGAAGTCAATCTCTGTAAATTCTTAAATCTCTGAGCTAGGAAGATCCAGTGGTTGAAGATTGATTATATGTAAAATTCTTGCTGGAGGATGAGCTAGGAAGATCCAGTGGTTGAGGATTGATCATATGTAAAAATCTTGCTGCAGAACATGGAGAGGTTGAAGGCTGAGGGAGATTAACTGATTTGCTCCCAAGCATGAGAATAACTGATGACATTGCAGGCCTAAGTGCAGGGTCATCCTGAACACACAACAACGCAACGTGTATATATCTCAGAACCTCATCAATCGGATGATTTTGAGCGATGTTTGGATCAATCAACTCCAGTCTTTTACCTTCATTCCACAGTAGCCATGCCTGCTCAGGGCCATATGTTTAGGTACAAGAAGCCTTAAGGTTAGGTATGAGGAAGAGTAACAAAGAGAGGATGCCTACATATGTTAGAAGGCTTTGGCCACACTCCGGATGGTAGAAACCCCTGTTCTTTTTACCACTTAATATTTCTAGCATCAGCACTCCGAAACTGTAAACATCGGACTTGTTTGAAAACAACCCTTCGAGTGCGTATTCCGGTGCCATGTAGCCACTGCACATTAAAGTAAAACAAGTATAAAGTAAAACCCTGTAAACTCTAGATGCCTACATTCGTTCTCGCAATTGTTTGTCTTATGAATTTTAAATCTATTTGCCTTTCTTCCCATCTCATATTTGACATTTGATGAATATAGTTAGAGAGGCATGACATGCATGCTTAGCAATAATGATAGTGCGAAGGAACTAAATGTAGTACTTACTATGTACCAACAACTCTAGCAGTGTTGGCTTCAACCTGATTGCCTCCAAATATTCTTGCCGTGCCAAAGTCCGATATCTTGGGGTTCATATCATCATCTAACAACACATTGCTTGCCTTCAAATCTCTATGAATTATTTTAAGCCGGGAATCCTCATGCAGATATTGAAGACCTCTTGCTGCTCCGGTAATGATGTTTGAACGTTTTTCCCAGTCCAGTACTTTGCATTTTTCAGGATCTGCCTTCAGAAAAGCATAAGAGTGAAATAATGTTCTTAGTTATTAAAATGGCATACACACACACAAACAACAAACTTGAGCATATGCAGTTTATCTCATAGATAACTGACATGAAACAAACAAGAAGCATCTACATTAAAATGACATGTGAAAGAAAGAGAGAGAGCAAACCGAATAGAAAAGCATCCAAGCTGGTGTTAGCCATATACTCATAGACAAGAAGCTTTTCGTCTTCCTCCAAGCAATATCCCAATAGCCTCACAAGATTTTTGTGTTGAAGCTTGAAAATTAACTTCACTTCATTCTTGAATTCTTCCAGACCTGCTTCGAATTCATTGAAAGCCTTTTGACTGCTATTTCCTTCCCATTGGACATTTTCCCCTGAAAGCATTTTAAAGTTAGTCCTCCAATGGAAGCTGTTACTTCTATCATTGAGTGAAAGGTTCACAGCATGTTAACATGCATATAATCCAATTTTCTGTTGCAATATGTGCATTCTCAGTAGATGAAAGGACTACTTTCAACCTTGTAAACAGGGCCAAAACCACCTTCTCCAAGCTTATTTTCTATGGAGAAGTTGTGTGTTGCAGCCTGTATGGTGGCTAAATTGAAGTGATACATCTCCCTGCTGTGATCCTCGTCTGATAGATACAGATGAGTATCTTCCTCCACCAAGCGATCAGACTTTGAGCCTTGAGAACCTCTTAATAAAATTCGTTCACTTGTGCCTTCAACCGAGCATTGAGTTATAAAGTCAAACTTTGTGCCGAAGAAAAATAATAAGATTTGTCATATGGCCTGAAAGAACTAAATTTCAAAAACACCTGTTTGTTTTCTTTTCTTGACTGAGGACGAATAATACCAGAAACCGGCCACCAGAACCGATGCAAAAACGCCTGCTATTGATGATACAACAGTTACTATGATCTTCCTTTTGCTTTTCCCTCCCTTATATGTTCCTTCTGTTACATTGCACCAAATAATACTGTTATTTTAACAGGTCACAATTTCATCAACAAAGTCTGTAATCTTTCCTATGTGAAGATCATTCTTCATTGCTAGTAACACAAAATAATGAGATCACTTTATCATGGGAATCAATAAGCACCCCCAACGATTTCAAAAAAGGAGGATAAAAATAATCAAACAAGCCTGCTTTGCTTACCTTCATCCACCGGTGGTGATTCTGTTGAGTCCGAAGATGTTTGATTGTAGAAAGGGTACATTTCATACCTTATAAAGCAACTTGGAGATAAAATTCGCCACCCTGTTCTCTCTATGCAGCATTCCTCCGACCGGTTCAACAATTGCCCCAAGCAAGAAGAACAGCTTCTAACATCAAGATCTCTGCTGCACTGAACCAGACCATATCTACGCTCCGGGCCGTTCCCGACCACCATTTCATTTGTTCTGAACATGTTCTCCGCATACGGTGCCTGATCAACTAGAGAATAAAACAAACCTAGGGTGCCGATATTTCCCTCTTCAGGTGAAGTACTGTTATGAGTATTCCACATTAACAACATTGGAAAAAACCGCGGCTGGCCAAAGAAGTTGATGTCCGAATATTGTAACAAGCACTGATCGTACCAAATGATTGCACTTTTATCAGAAGGGCACACCTGTGTACATGTTTGAGTAGCATTGTAGACGCAAACCCGACAAACATCGCTAGAAACATCACCTCGGCAAAGGAAGAGACTGTAAATTCCGTTCAAGCTGTCGTTGTAGAAGCTGTTGTCGGAAGCTTTAGAGGACATCGAATCCAGGAGAACCGTAAGGTTAGATATATAACCGGCGGTGGCCGTTTCATTACCTGGACCTAGACAAGCATGATTGTTATACGTTGCTGACTGGCAAGCGATGGAGCTAATAAGCTTGAAGATTGTGAAGAACCATAAAAGCAGGGACCTGGGTTTGTGAAGGAAAGTCATTGTCTTTTCATGCTTGTAATGGGAAAATGGGATGAGATAACTGGTATGATTCTGGGCTCCGGGTAGCCAATACAGAAAACTGATGTTTCAAAAGAAGTAGATTGGATTAGGTAAACACATTGTCCCTGTTTGTTCAGCTTCCAGGGCACCGTGTTGATTTTGTGCAAGTAATGGTATAAAAAAATGTATAATATAATGAATAATTGTCGCTGCTCATAACAGTGACCGGTGGTTCACTTCAGCGGGAGAGTTGTTAATTCATTTCTTGAAGGCCTGCAATGGTGACAACCTTTTTAATCACGCCATTTGGAAAGTTCTGGGAGACAAAACGTGTACAGTGATGCAATTCATTTTTTTATGAAGAGCCTACAAATTCACCTTCTCCGTCCGGAATGTTGTTCAAATTCATATAAAAAAATAAAAATTCAGCAGCCGGCAATATCATCCTCTTCTAAATGGCATTAAAAAAAACAAATTGGGCGAATGATTAGCATTTGAGTATTTAAACGAATTGTACAATGCAGACTTCTTTCAACAAATACTCATAATGTTCATTCAGCCTTTTACTTAAATTTTCTTTTGTCCGTAACCTACACGGAAAGCTGAAAGGGACCGACTGACAGAATGAAGATGAGAGAGAAAATGCAATATAAGGTTTTTATATACTCAAACTTGATTCATTTAGTTTACAGCTCTAGTTATGAATGCACCTAGGAGGGAGCTGCTTTTATAAAATTTAGTTGCTTTTATATTTTTATAGTGTGTACGTGTAACACACTTAACTTTTTATATATATACGAGTTAAAGATGTCACATTAATCATACGAAATATTTACTATTTGAAAACCAATAAAAATTATTCTTTTATGAATATCAAAATACATTTTTTATTTTAAAACTATTAATCACAAAAAATCATAATTTGATATTTAAATGTCAAAAGTTAAAAATTCAATGCATATAGCATTTTAGGTAGTTTTGTACTCTTACATATCTTAAATTAAAACTGTTTGATTTGAAAATCGTTTCTATCATAAATAATTACGATTTAATAAACCAATATTCATAATTAGTAATGTCTTTTGTAAAACCAAACCTTGATAACTTAAACAAAAAATATCTTAAAGAGACTCGAATCAGAGCAGCTAGAAACTTCTTTGATATACATGTCACT